AATTTATTGGCGCCAGGACAGGCTCACGAGCAGTGCGGAGCGGAGCTTGGATATAAATAAAATGGGTCGTAAAAGGGACTTTATGCTGCAGTAAACACGTCATCAACATATCAACTGGGCACAGATAAGCAGTTACCAGTATCAACTTCTGCCGAGTCCTGGGCAATTAGAGTCATAAACTGGGCTCCGAACGCGGAAGAGGCGTCGACGGGCACGTCGGTATATTAGCACTTGATGGAAATGGCCGAGGCCATAACAATCAGCACCAGCGGCAGGTGTATGGTCCGCTTTTCAGCGGTTCATCATGGCTATTCCAAGGATCATAAGGATGCTTACTGACCGCCACGCCACCAAGTAACTGTGTAACTGCCTCGTGTGATGTTCGCATAAAAATCTGGTACCATTAAGTCAAACAGGGATATGAATTTCTCACAAGTTAACGTTAAGCCAGTTCATAAAGATATTATTTGTTTATTTTGATCTAGAATAAAATCTTTATAAGCTGGAAGCATTTATTAGAATGAGCTGTAATTATATGCGCTTTATTGTTAAACCTATGTCTAGTCAGCTTGATTTAATCCACATTACTCAAGTCTTTACTTTTATGCCAGAATTAATTTAAAATAATATAAATGCGTATTTATGAATATGAGGAAAGGGGGAATTTGGCTTCCGGAAGCCAAATTTATATCTTTTATAACTAAGCCAAAAATTCATTAATTTCCATTCGGAAAGCGTTTCTATGTTAGATTTTATTAGGTTAACAAATCTGCATACTGATTTTAAGAATTTAAGAAATTCAATTTTTTGCCAATTTTTGGCAATTTTAGTGATGTAACCCCTTATCAATTTTTCAATTTTTGGCCAAATTTGGAAAATTTTATTTTTCCTCCGGGCATGGCTTAATCGACGCGGCTGTTGATGCTGATCAAGAATATATATGATTTATGGGGTCGGAAATGACTCCTTCACTACTTTTGAAGCTTCTGACTAAAATTATAATACCACTTTTTGTCTATATTTATTCAAACTTCTGACTAGAATTAGATATAAATTTAATGAATTACTTTAAAGTCTAATCAGATTTATTTATTTCAGATAAATCAAAACTCTTCCGAAATGTTTCAAGATCTAGCTTTTAAAAACATTTAATGGTACATACAGAATATGTTTTAAATTGACTTTAAGATATATACATACATATGTATGAACTGACTACAACATTGTTATCAATTCTATAAAGCTTCACCTTTGACTACAGAGCCTTTTCTTTATTCAAAAATACTATCTTCAGGTGAACATCACATTGTTCTTATGTATGATATTAGAATAAGCCAATTAAATAATTTAAAGCGTATGCGCTACAGTTTTAAAGATAAGGAATGTCGCAAACATACATATATAGTAAGACGAGGCCTGAAAGAAAACTTTGCCATGTGGTCACAGGCCGTTCTCTCATCCCCCAGAATAGGTTTTTCTGCCGCTTTTTTTCCTTTTTATTTATTTTTTTTTTTGTATTCGCCAAGACGAACTTCTAAGCGGAGAAAATGAAAAGGTGAAGGAACATTTTTTCCATCATCCTCGAATGTGTGTATCGTGCAGGACGTCGCGCAAATCACCCAAGTGAATTCACGCCATTTTTCAGCGTCCGTCGCTTTTGTCCGCCGTCCGGGCGAAGGCCCAAACACACATACCGTACTCACAAGGACCTCCATCTACTGCCTGTGTACTTCCCCCTAGCGAGTCCAGTCCCATAACGGGCTACCCCACTTAACCGTCCGGCGACCCGGCGAGGCCGCTGATTCTGCTCCTGCTCCTGCTGATGCTGATGCTGATGCTGACACGTTCGCTGTCCGTCGCCGGGCGTTCGAATACAAAATAAATATCCAATATATGCCCATGTGGGTGTGTATCCTGTTTCTGGCATATATTATAAGTGGAATAGAAAAATAAATGCGCCGAGATAAAAGTTTTCTACCCCCCGACGCCATCGCCAACGACGACGACGGTCTGCGTGTCCGCAGGACCTTCCTCTCCCACTCGTCCAATCGTCCACCCATTCACCCATGAGCCGGGCCCGGCCAGTCCATCCCAGAAGCATCCCATTCCACCCACTCCACCCACTCCGCCCCCCGCTCAATTCACCGCGGCGCAGCAGCAGCAGCAACATGTCAGCGGCGAACAATAACAACAAGCTGAAGAACGGAGCGCGACAAAAGCAAAGGCAAAGCCAAAGGCAGCGGCAGGACCAGGAGCAGGAGCAGGAGCAGAAGGCCCACTTGCAAGTCGCCGGGCCTTTGCAAAACGGACGCGTCACGAAGCACGTTTGAAATATTGAAGGAAGGACATTTAGGAATAAAATGAAAGGATCGCACCCCAAAGCGCCCACCCCATCAGCAAACGTGTGTCCTCGCACACATATGCACACATGGAAAAAATGAGCGGATGATTTTTCATGTTTTCATGTTTAAAGTGTGACCAGTTTATGGACAGGTAAACAGGAATAAGGAAATCAGTTTAATATTACAAGGATATATCATAGAGAGAGATATCTTTCATAAACGTAAACTGTAATATCCTAGAAGATTCAATTAAAGAAGAAGTCTAGAATTCAATCACTTAAAACTGGAGTTTGAATATGATTAAATGTATGTTAACTACATCTATAAAATTAATTTAAAATGTATTCTTAAACCTATGCCCTGTTAAAAACATCTAAAAAATGTCTCAAATTATTCCCATTTTTATTTTGTGTGCACGTAAAAACTCTTACACACACACACTTGGACAGTGTCTACAGCAGCCCGTGTGCAAAACCCTCGCGCTTACCCCAACCTCCTGTCGCATGTCCTGTTTGCTTCGGCAAGAACCCACTTACACACTCGCAGGTCACACACACACGAGGGCGCCTGCATGTGTGTATACTTCGCGTAAATATTGGGAGTCCTTGACTACGCGATGTGAATGATGCTGATAAAATACAAATTCTTGGGCCGCGGCGTTGGCCGCTAGTGTATTTACACAACTGTACTTATGCCCAGCCGGTCACTGGCGGCCAAGTCCGAGTCGAGGCGAGGATGCGATGTCCTGGGGGGGAAGGAGCGGGGAGCAACGTAGCAAGTCCCACCACCGCGGGGGACGACGACAAGGCCCACAAACGACGACCGACGACGACCCACGGCCCACGGCCCACGGCCCACGGCCCACGCCTTGGCGCACAACATTGACTAGCCGCTATTACAGGGTCCCGCGACTCGGAAGTCCAAAAGAGGCACTGTGAGAAATTTCTACATGCTATGAGGTTAATATTTAAAAAGTCCTTTAAAATATGTGTTAAAGAAAAGAAGTTTAAGTTATGCAGGTATTATAGGGATTATAAAAATGCACTTGGTATTACAAGAAAGCTGTTCATAAGAACAGGTTTTTATTAAAGGATCAAGCAATATCCTGGCAGACTACAATTAAAAAATCTTTAACAATCTTAAAAGAATCCTGTGGCATATTTAAGACACAATGTGACCAGTTAATGTACAGTATTCTCTGAGATGTCTATATTGAAGAAGGTATTGTTTAGTTTTTACAAAGAGGTTTTAGGTCCTTACAGAGTTCTCTTTTTCTTTCCTTTGATGGCCAATTTTAAACCACTACTCAGAATGCTCTGGCTCTATATTTTCGCTGAGTGTACGAAATCTCCTTGTCCAGTTAGCGAACAAAAATCTGCGACGAAATTACGCCACATGTGTTCATGCCACGAGCAAATTTTCAGCGAAGCTAACGTACGGTAGGCGGACAAGGGACAGCACTTTCATCTTAGGACGATTCTTTCAAGGGACGAACCCAATTTCGCCGACCCAAATGGCGGCGGGGGTGGGGTTGAAGTGGGTGGTGTTTTTGGGGGGTGGCAATGTTGGAAGAAGGGAAGGAGGGTCACGGACATCATATAAGTCGCTGAATGTGTGTGTTTGGGTCCTGAACGATTGTGTGAGCGCATCTTTTGGTGGTGTGAGTATCGCGTTAAATGGACAGCCGCCCAGCTCAGAGATTCGTGTGTGTTAAAACACTGAGAATAAAACATAGGTAGGTTTCTAAAATATGCTACATTGAAAAAAATATACAATTTACTAGGAAATTTAATTCAAATTAACAGAAAAGTGTAACTTACTATTTTAATTCCGTGCTTGAAATCATATTATTTATACAGTGTTTGATATTATATCATTTTCTCCCTCTGTAGATCGAAGAGTGTGTGTGTGGGAGTGTGTCACGGATGTGGGTTCGGTGTGTGTGTATGTGTATGTATGGGTGTGCGGCTCTACGGCTCTCCGGCTTGTGTGCCTTGGGCGCGGGTCCGGTCCGAACACGGCAGCAGCATCAGCAGGAGCAGGAGCAGCATCAGCCACTTTGTCCAATTTTCAAACGGTCACTTTTTGGGAAACGAATTTTCCTCACCGTAACCCCGAACCTCTCGGTACTCCCTGGAACTCCTGGAACTCCAGGAACTGTTCCACCCCAACCCCTGGTCAGCCGCCCTTAGCGACGTTGTTCGCGCGGCGGCAATGATTCTAGGCCATGAAATCGACATCCGCATTTTAGAATCCACTCAAGCGCCGGAGGAAGAAACTCTCAGATACCGGGTATCTGCATCTTAAAGTCCAGGCTTTGATTTTGATTTAATCAGTGGACACCATTTGAATGGCAGTACTTGAAAAGACAAGCATTGAGACAATTAATGGGATAATTGATTTAGTGGTTTTGTCACCACAAAAATATACTTATTTCCCTGGGCGATATAGATAGACATCTTTAGTTGAAGAAGATAGTATATGAAATAATTTTGAAATGAAGAATAATCTCTTTATTCAAATTTATTAGTATAAGAACTATTTATGAATAATGTGAAAACATGTTTCACTTTTACTGCCATTAAAACGCTTCAACCCTAGTTCCCAAATAAATATTTGCCAGCTTCTTAAGATAGCTTTGTTTAATTTTCCATTCATTCCAAAGTACATTGTTTTTATTGTTTTAAAATATACATTAATTCTATCCCTCCGTGGTCTGCTTTATCATATCCTCCTTTTTCAGATTGAGTCTCGTATCCTTGAGCAGCGAACTCTTGACGAGTTCATACTTTTTCTGCGACTCCTCGTGGGTCAGGGTCAGACGCTGTTGAACCATTCTTTTATTGAGTTCCAGATCCTTTGACTGTTGCACCAGACGCTTGTAGTCATAGTTGTTGAATTGATTTTCGAATTTATTGAGGAACCGATTGAGGGACTTTGACTCTGAGGTGAGCTGTTAAATAAGAGTAAAAGTGAGTTTAAATAGGGCTTCAGTAGAGCTTCATACTTACATCTTCGTAGTGTCGCTGAAGATTATTCAGCAAACTGACAAACCGCGATTTCAGATCATTCAGACAGGCATTATAGGCGTACAAAGATTGCTCTGGAGTCAGCTCTCCCTGGTAGGGCACCAAATATGGAGCCAAGAAATCAGCGGGTTTACTAGCAATTTCTTTCTTGAGTTCCTCTTCCTCTTCAAACTGGAAATATATACGTTTTCAAATAAATTTATAAATATTATAGATTAACTTCTCACCTGTTTCATTCTTATGGCTCTGGCTGCTCCATTTCGTAATGGATCAAATATACTAAACTTCAACTTAGGCTCAATCTTTTCACACTTACGAACATCAAATATATTATTGATGTCGTCAAAGATATGCTGAAAGGTCTTTGCCAGTTGATCCTCGTAGTTGAGTTGATCGCGCAAGAGACGATAGAGCTCAAGATTAGTGCGAGTGGGATCCAGAGGATTGGCCTAAAGAGACTTATGCATAAGAAGAGGTTTGAAAAAGTCTTAAATAATATCTATACCTTGTATATCTTGGTAAGTTTCTCATCGTAAACCAGCTCCTGGCCATAATCCGCCCTTGGTGGCTTTGTAAACTCCACTGTGGTGGCAGTCAGGGCTCCAAAGGTATAATGAAACTTGAGTATAATTTTATTTTGTTGGAAAAGAAACGAACGCTCTGCTATATCAGTGCCTTCAATATCATCGGGATTGCCTTTGTGGAATTTCTCAATGACTTTCTAAAAGAATTGATTATAATATTGGCATGATATAGTAATGTATTAGTTTACCCTTAGTTTGTTTCCAGATTCAGTAAAATGGAATTCCTTGTACCAGCAGTTGTCCATGCGACCCTTGTAGTAGAGAATAAGTGACTTGGGTTCGACCACCATCAAGTCCAAGGAATCTATCCTAGAGCCCGAATAGAAATAAACTTTACGCGGCTGCGTGGTGTCGGAAAAGTACTCCATGGCTGGAAAAATATATAAATTTATAGTCTGATTATAGATATGTTATATCTCTAGTGCTTACATTTCAAACTATCATTGCGTCCTTTGGCGAAAATCTCCTCATACTGATCGGTGGCATAAGTGTACTTAACATGGCGCATCAGATCGGATCGATTCTCGTAGTGCTCATACCGGATCTTGGGATCCGTGCACTCATCATTGTTGAAGATGGTCAGCTGCATCATCTTGCCATCCCGCTGGGAGTAGGGAGCAAAGCGCTCGTGGATCGCTCCCTTGTACTGGATTGTCTTTCCGAAGCTTGGAAATCGCTGCTCGAATTTGGCCAGCCCGATGTGAAGTCTTTCCACCCACTCGCAGATGCAATCCAGATGCTTCTCCTCGCCAATGTCACGATCCTCCTCTGCAATGTTCTCGTCGGAAGCCATTTTGTAGGTGCGCATCTCGGGCGGCTCACCGGGCAGCATGTGCTCCCAGTCGGCGGTGTCCCGCAGATCCCATCGCATATCGCCAACCCGCTGGTACTTCTGCTTGTTGACATAGTAATTGTACTGGTTCCAGACACTGTCGATCAGGATGTACTGCTTGCAGCCGGCCTCGCAGATGAATCCCGTCGAGGGCTCTATGAAGGTGGCCGAGGGTGGAGCCTCCACAACGTCTCCATTCACGTCCACGTAGGTAGTCTTTGGCTTGATGCTCCATGGGGCATTGTTTATGATCACCACCCAGGCATGACTCCGCCGATAATGATGCCGATCCACGGCTAGCAGCTCGAGATCCTTTCGGGAAATCCCATGGATGGTTAATCCCCGGTTCACATGCACAAGTGCACGTTGTGTTTATTATTCTCACTTACCTCCATTTTCTTACGAATAATTTCATCCTGAATCCGCTTCTCCTCGGCCTCCTTTACCCTGTGAACCTCAGCAATATCCTCCTCGAGATGACTCTGCAAGTCCGGTAATCCGCGCAGCTTGTACTTTTGTCCCGTCTGCTCGACCGGCTTCACCACCTCCTCGGCCTCCACCTCGACAATGGGATAGGGATAGGGAGTGGCCAGTTGATCGTTGATCACGGTCTCCTCGCGGGCCACACCGGACACAACCATGGCCGGATGGCCAGCTCCAATCAGCATACTGACCAGCAGAGTGGCCATTTCGTAGGAGTTTCCCTTGCGGTGCCGCAACAAGGTGTCGGGGGAAATGAGGCGGGTGGGCTGGAAAATGTATATAGAAACAATTATTAAAGTAAGAAAATATATCATTTGTATTGCATTGGAAGCCAATATGCAATTTCTCTGCTCGAATTTCTTTTCTATAAACATATACAAGTATGTGAAGATAAGTAAAGATACATGTATGTATGTTATAAGCCGGACTCAGGAAACAGCAAGGCAGTTTCCAGGAAATTTGGCACAAACTATTGCGCAGCACGAGACAAAAAGGAAATCTTTAACTACCTTTAGCACCGTTTACCTGCCAAAAGGTAAAGATATATATGTACATATATATGATTGTGAGCATGTATATGGCCCTGTAAACACAGCAGGAGTCAAAAATCGTGTAGGCTATATATTTTACAACCTTAGAAAAGTTATATCCGTTTAGGAACAGCGGGAATGTGTAAAAAAATGGGAAATAAACCTGTCGATCAGTTTGGATTTGGGTTTCGCGGTCACGGATAGGACCTTGGAATTATTGGGAAATCGAATATCTTTGAGATTTTCAATGTAGATTATTCAGAGATTTGATTTATGTAGAGCCTTAAGAGGGTACCAGCATAAAGCTAAGTTAGTCATATATTCATTTCAAAACTATATTATGCAAGAATATTTTAATAAAATATATCAAAACCTTAACAGTGTCACAAAGAAATGTCCAGAAATCTAAGAAATGCAATGCAAATGTAAGAAAGTACCAGAAATCCATGCCATGACTTAAGATCTGCACAAAATAACATCAAAGATCGTTGATTGCAAGGACCTCTTTTAAGGTATTAACGATATGCCTTTATTTATTCTCGGTTTGTTTTTGAACGCTCTTAGATTTGCGGATGTCATTCAGAGAGAGGGAGAGAAGGAGTCCCCGTACAATCAGCGGTCTGTTTTCGTTGCATCCTTCGAGCGACGCGCCGAGGTAGCGAGGCCAGGACAGGCCCACTCCCATTTAATCCGCCTCGGGTATCCTTTGTCCCGATTGTTTACCTGCACATCTGCAACTGCCCCGTAGGTGGCTGCGTGACCCCGTGCCATTCATCTTCCCTCCGTTCCGCGAAGACTTAGGAGACAATCCTGCCAACCGGAATCCTGGAATTCTGTGCATGTGCGCTGTGCCTGGGATGAGCTGCGTCCGAAACTGTGAAGCGTAACGAAGCAACCATTAACGCGGGAAACGCTGGCAATTATTGTAGGCCATCGTCCCCTGCTCCCAAAAATTTGTTTGGTTCAGTTTTTGTTGTTTGGTTGACATCTCCTTATCTTTATCCTTGTATACTCTGAGATTGCAACAGAGCAAGCGGATGCAGGAGAGATTTATATATCTAATTTTGCAGCGTTTTGGTTTATATTTATACTTTTGATATATTCGGTTTATGGTTTAGAGATGACTAAAAGTAATTCATGGAATTATGTTTTTGCAAATCCACCTTAAAACTTTTTAATCAATAAGGACTTTTGTGATAAGCCAACAATTTTATATCCTTGCAGGGTATTATACATTTAGTCAGAAGCTTGAAACTGAGTGAAGGAGTCAGTTCCGACCCCATAAATCATATATATTCTTGATCAGCATCAACAGCAGCGTCGATTAAGCCATGCCCGGAGGAAAAATAAAATGTTCCAAATTTGGCCAAAAATTGAAAAATCGATAAGGGGTTACATCATTAAAATTGAAAAAAATTGGCAAAAAATTGAATTTTTAAAAAATACAAACTGAGTATGTAGATTTGTTAACCGGGTAAAAAATAACGCAGAACAGCTTTCCGATTTAAAATTATTCCCTTTTTGGCTGAGATGACAGATTTAAAAATAAAATTACCTGATTTTCATATCAAACTTCATGTACAAAACTCAGTTTATATTCCTTGTTTTATTTCCCAACTGAACGTTTATATATATTTAAGAAGCACAGAATCAAGGACTTTAATTAATTAAAAGCCAATATGGTTCTGAAAAGAGCAAGAGTCTAGTTTAGTGGAAAATCCCGCCAAATCAAGGAGCTTCTGAGGCTTCAAGGCTACCAAGAACTAAACAGGATTTTAGCGATTTTTCGTGGATAGTCTCCCTCCCCCCCTGAGTCCAGCACCTTTTCATTTCTACCCTGGCCTGGCATACGCCCCGTTGCTTCAAAGAAGGCCATTAAAATGCTAAAATCGCCGTGTGAAGCCATAAGAATCACAATGGGTACGAGGCGCGCAGTCATCGGTTGGAGTTCGAGGTCAAAAACAACGCACACATCGATTAGTCAGCGAAAAACCAGTCAGTCAGTCAGTCAGCAAGCGGCGTCTAATTGAATTCGATGCAAAAGGCAGTACCTGGACCTGGACTGCACTCGAGGACTCCTCATGGTTTCAGCTCCCTGAGAGCTGTCCTCCAGCTCTGTTCCAGCTCCTTGCCCGCTTTCCTGGCCCGCTATCACTGCGGTCGCGCGTAATAAGAAACGCTTCAAGGTTATTCGAACGTGTTAAATTGGGATCGGGATCGGGAATGGATAGCATGGATGGCAGGACCAGTAGTCGCAACAATGGAGGAGCGAACATGACGAAACAAAAGGGACGAATGCACACCGAGAATGGAGCAACAACGGGCGCCCGGTTGCTTCGAATACAGGGGCCTTAAGCTCGAATTACATCCACTGCTGTGTGTGAGATTCGGTTGAGATGATGAACTTAGAGAATACCTATTAGTTGAAGTTCCATGGGGAATGGAGGTACAAATGCATAAGAAGTTGTTAAAAGGATCTTAAAATATTCTCTATTGGAATTCGATTAATTGTTTAAATTATTCGACCTACAAATATGTTATCATAATTTAATTTATAAATAATCTGAGGTTATATGTTGTATGTTATAATGTATAAATTATGGGTAATGAAAATTAAATTTAGTTACTTAAGCCAAGCTATATTTTGCTATGAAAATGGTTTATATTCTATAACACATTTATAAACCCAATGAAACGTACCTGTGTAAGGAACTTCCTCTTAATCCAAATCCTTCCTCTTTACAAATCAATCCAATTTTTAGTTAACAATCAGCAATACTCCTTGAGTGCATATATACCTTCCCAAAGCCAAGACTTACAGGGTACACAAAACGACAACGTCCGTCCGAAGGGAAGAAACACAAAAAAAGCGAGAAAAAAACTGCGCCAAAAGCGGCGAAAAATTGCGAAAAAAGGGTGGCGCGTAACAGAGTCGTCTGCGAAGAGACAGAATCACTTTCAGTTGCCACCCTGCTGAATGGCTGCCACCGCTCGCGGGTCACAACTCAAAACAATGCGGCTCAAGACGGGGTTGGCAGACAGGACACGGCACACGGGACGCAGGACACAGGACACGACAATGCAGTGCCACTCACACACATGCGAACGCCACCACCACCACCCACTCCCGCATCCCTTCGTTAGACTAACCTGGGGGCAAAGGACGATTCGCTGGGGAGGCGACACCATCACCAGCACCGGCAGCGGCACAGCCACATCGCTTATCGGGATGCATAATGAGCCGCCGCTGCCGTCTTTTTTCATGAGAGCGCTGAAACAAAGCGGTGAAATTCAGCGCGATTCCTTGAGCCAAGATGAGCCGAGTCCTTTTGCGGTCGATGGGCGTCCTGCGTCATCCAGCGCGATGCCTTCTTCCTAGAGAGAGAGGAAGTCCCAGGCCGGGCCGCCGCATGTGTAAGTTTTTAAATGAGCACACACGATGAAAATCAGCGACTTAACCCCTTTATGATAATGTACTGCACGGAAGTGTTATTGTCCTGGGGACAAAAGGACACACGGCGGCGTCGTCGACACTAGCGGCCGTAATACGCGGTCCCCCCATCATCTGTTGCCCCATCGCCATTGCCTTCAGCATCATCCACACATCCTCCTTGGACTAATCTTGGCCAAAGCATCCAGAACCCAACCCAAGGCAAGGCGAAACCCGCTCAGCTCACTATTTGCTTCGGCGGATCTATGTACGTACGTACGTGAATGTGTGTCTATAGCGCCATTCACCACGCCAGGATTTTATTATTTGCCCGGCTTCCGCGACCCGGGTCCCCGGGCACATAAAAGTCCCGGCCAATAGACGCTCTTAAAAACGGCCAAGATTAAGATATAAACACGCGAAATTAAGACATTTGATTCCCCCAGAACAGTCAGTCAAAGACCGTGGTGTGCCCGTGCTGGAGCCTAATGGTTTGGGTCTCTGTATATTGGGACGGAAGACCATCATCATCATGGCTTGAAACTACATCCCAGCAGGAATTATGCATAGTAGTTTGGAATATAGGCCACGCCATATTAGTCCACTTTTCTTCTTGGCGGTTTAAACCGCTGCGAAAATTGTTGAATTGAAAACTTAAAGTGTCCTTGATGTGGAATTTAATAGCAGGGATATAAATAAGTCCCTTTAATTGAAAAGTTCAAACATAAATGAATATGAATTCTGTAACTCAAAACTGCAATTCATTCCTAGGATGAAATCGTAAATCGATCATAACTAAGCTTAAAATATTCGCACTCTTTAAATCAATATTCTTATCAATAATTTTATATACAAAAATCTCATAACTCGGCCAAAAATGCATTAATTTCAAATCGGAAAGCGTTTTAATGATAGTGTTTACTAGGTTAACAAATATGCATACTCAATTTACAATTCTAAAAATTTAAATTTTTGCCAATTTTTGGCAATTTTAATGATGTAACCCTTTAAAGTTTTTTCAATTTTTGGCCAAATTTTAAAAATTTTATTTTTCCTCCAGACATGGCTTAATCGACGCTGCTGTTGATGTCGTTCCCAGTCGTTCTAGCCATGTCCAGTCAAAAAATAAATTTTTGACACTTTTCCGAAAATTGAAAATTTTATAATTTTTTCATTAAAATTGCCAAAATTTGCCTAAAAATTGAATTTTGTAAATTAAAAAACTGAGTATGCAGCTTTGTTAATCTTTTAAAAACTAGCATAGAACAGCTTTCCGAATTAAAATTAATGATTTTTTGGCTTAGTTATGAGTTTTTTTAAACTATGATATTTGGAAAAAATTGTCAGTTTTTGTACCTTTTTGCAGGTTTTCATGAGTTTATTCAAAAACTGACCATAGCATCAACAGACGCAGTATGCAGATTTGTTGGTGCAATAAAAACTAGCACAGAAAAGCTTTCCGAATTAAAATTATTGCAATTTCGGCCTAATTATGATGTCCGAAAAACTGTGATTTTTCAAAAAATTGTCTGTTTTTATACCTTTTGAAGAATATAATTTAAGTCAGAAGCTTGAAACGCAATGAAGGAGTCATTTGCGACCCTATAAACCAAATATATTCTCGATCAGCATCAACACCCAGTCGTTCTAGCCATGTCCAGTCAAAAATTAAATTTTTGACACTTTTCCGAAAATTGAAAATTTATAAGGGGTTACATCATTAAAATTGCCAAAATTTGCCTAAAAATTGAATTTTGTAAATTTAAAACTGAGTATGCAGCTTTGTTAATCTACTAAAAACTAGCATAGAACAGCTTTCCGAATTAAAATTAATGATTTTTTGGCTTAGTTATGAGTTTTTTTAAACTATGATATTTCGAAAAAATTGTCCGTTTTTGTACCTTTTTGCAGGTTTTCATGAGTTTATTCAAAAACTGACCATAGCATCAACAAACGCAGTATGCAGATTTGTTGGTGCAATAAAAACTAGCACAGAAAAGCTTTCCGAATTAAAATTATTGCAATTTCGGCCTAATTATGATGTCCAAAAACTGTGATTTTTCAAAAAAATTGTCTGTTTTTATACCTTTTTGAAGAGTATAATTTAAGTCAGAAGCTTGAAACGCAATGAAGGAGTCATTTCCAACCCTATAAACCAATATATTCTTAATCAGCATCAACACCCCAGTCGTTCTAGCCATGTCCAGTCAAAAAATAAATTTTTGACACTTTTCCGAAAATTGAAAATTTTATAAGGGTTACATCATTAAAATTGCCAAAATTGCCTAAAAATTAATTTTGTAAATTTAAAAACTGAGTATGCAGCTTTGTTAATCTTTAAAAACTAGCATAGAACAGCTTTCCGAATTAAAATTAATGATTTTTGGCTTAGTTATGATTTTTTAAAACTATGATTTTTGGAAAAAATTGTCCGTTTTGTACCTTTTTGCAGGTTTTCATGAGTTTATTCAAAAACTGACCGTAGCATCAACAAACGCAGTATGCAGATTTGTTGGTGCAATAAAAACTAGCACAGAAAAGCTTTCCGAATTAAAATTATTGCAATTTCGGCCTAATTATGATGTCCGAAAAACTGTGATTTTTCAAAAAAATTGTCTGTTTTTATACCTTTTTGAAGAATATAATTTAAGTCAGAAGCTTGAAACGCAATGAAGGAGTCATTTCCGACCCTATAAACCAAATATATTCTTGATCAGCATCAACAGCCCAGTCGTTCTAGCCATGTCCAGTCAAAAATAAATTTTTGACACTTTTCCGAAAATTGAAAATTTTATAAGGGGTTACATCATTAAAATTGCCAAAATTTGCCTAAAAATTGAATTTTGTAAATTTAAAAGTGAGTATGCAGCTTTGTTAATCTTTTAAAAACTAGCATAGAACAGCTTTCCGAATTAAAATTAATGATTTTTTGGCTTAGTTATGATTTTTTAAAACTATGATTTTTGGAAAAAATTGTCCGTTTTTGTACCTTTTGCAGGTTTTCATGAGTTTATCAAAAACTGACCATAGCATCAACAAACGCAGTATGCAGATTTGTTGGTGCAATAAGAACTAGCACAGAAAAGCTTTCCGAATTAAATTATTGCAATTTCGGCCTAATTATGATGTCCGAAAAACTGTGATTTTTCAAAAAAATGTCTGTTTTTATACCTTTTTGAAGAATATAATTTAAGTCAGAAGCTTGAAACGCAATGAAGGAGTCATTTCCGACCCTATAAACCATATATATTCTTGATCAGCATCAACAGCCCAGTCGTTCTAGCCATGTCCAGTCAAAAAATAAATTTTTGACACTTTTCCGAAAATTGAAAATTTTATAAGGGGTTACATCATTAAAATTGCCAAAATTGCCAAAAATTGAATTTTGTAAATTTAAAAAGTGAGTATGCAGCTTTGTTAATCTTAAAAACTAGCATAGAACAGCTTTCCGAATTAAAATTAATGATTTTTTGGCTTAGTTATGAGTTTTTTTAAACTATGATTTTTGGAAAAAATTGTCCGTTTTTGTACCTTTTGCAGGTTTTATGATTTATTCAAAAACTGACCATAGCATCAACAAACGCAGTATGCAGATTTGTTGGTGCAATAAAACTAGCACAGAAAAGCTTTCCGAATTAAAATTATTGCAATTTCGGCCTAATTATGATGTCCGAAAAACTGTGATTTTTCAAAAAATGTCTGTTTTTATACCTTTTTGAAGAATATAATTTAAGTCAGAAGCTTGAAACGCAATGAAGGAGTCATTTCCGACCCTATAAACCATATATATTCTTGATCAGCATCAACAGCCCAGTCGTTCTAGCCATGTCCAGTCAAAAATAAATTTTTGACACTTTTCCGAAAATTGAAAATTTTATAAGGGGTTACATCATTAAAATTGCCAAAATTTGCCAAAAATTGAATTTTGTAAATTTAAAAACTGAGTATGCAGCTTTGTTAATCTACTAAAAACTAGCATAGAACAGCTTTCCGAATTAAAATTAATGATTTTTGGCTTAGTTATGAGTTTTTTTAAACTATGATTTTGGAAAAAATTGTCCGTTTTTGTACCTTTTTGCAGGTTTTCATGAGTTTATTCAAAAACTGACCATAGCATCAACAAACCAGTATGCAGATTTGTTGGTGCAATAAAAACTAGCACAGAAAAGCTTTCCGAATTAAAATTATTGCAATTTCGGCCTAATTATGATGTCCGAAAAACTGTGATTTTTCAAAAAATTGTCTGTTTTTATACCTTTTTGAAGAATATAATTTAAGTCAGAAGCTTGAAACGCAATGAAGGAGTCATTTCCGACCCTATAAACCATATATATTCTTGATCAGCATCAACAGCCAGTCGTTCTAGCCATGTCCAGTCAAAAAATAAATTTTTGACACTTTTCCGAAAATTGAAAATTTTATAAGGGGTTACATCATTAAAATTGCCAAAATTTGTCAAAAAATTGAATTTTGTAAATTTAAAAACTGAGTATGCAGCTTTGTTAATCTACTAAAAACTAGCATAGAACAGCTTTCCGAATTAAAATTAATGATTTTTTGGCTTAGTTATGAGTTTTTTTAAACTATGATTTTTGGAAAAAATTGTCCGTTTTTGTACCTTATTGCAGGTTTTCATGATTTATTCAAAAACTGACCATAGCATCAACAAACGCAGTATGCAGATTTGTTGGTGCAATAAAAACTAGCACAGAAAAGCTTTCCGAATTAAAATTATTGCAATTTCGGCCTAATTATGATGTCCGAAAAACTGTGATTTTTCAAAAAATTGTCTGTTTTTATACCTTTTGAAGAATATAATTTAAGTCAGAAGCTT